GTGGCGCGATGCAACGCAACGCGTAAAAAGACGGTATAAGTCATTATAATCCGTAATTATGTCCCCACTGGATGCTACAAATGCCTCGTTTGTAATGGGTTTTCATGTTTTTTGTTTCGTCGCTCCGGCCGGGACAGGCATCACAGTATGGTAAGGGGCGTAACATTTCCGTCACACGCTTGAGGTATTCGGCCAATCACAACGCACTGGATAGGTGGTCAATCAGAGCACACCTCGCTTTTCAGACCGATGAGCTTTGTAAAAATCGACGCGTTTCAGAAAGGCGGGGCATAGAGGAGAAACAATAATGTACAGTATGTGGAAAATAATTTTTTAACCTTAAACCGCATAAACACATTTCATTACACCAAATACACAAAATAATGTTCTTTTTTAGCAACATCATATGACCCCTTTAAGGTCAGTCGGGGTCTCATATAGCCGAAGAAATTCCTAAGGAATATCGGCCTGTGTGTACCATATTTTTGTTCTTGAAAATGTTCTTGAAATAAGTCAAAAACATTAAAATAAGTATTTGATGAAAAATACATTAAAAACGGTATTAATGTTAAATATTATTACAATGTAAAACAACGTGTTTCTATTTTAATATAGGTTATATATACATATATTTCATATATATATATAAAACTGCCTCCTCATTTTAAAACATCATTGCACACCACTAATATATAGCTCTTTCTCTCTCTATAGGCCTATATAGCTATATATATATAGCTCTCTCTCTCTCTCTCTCTCTCTCTCTCTATATATATATATATATATATACACACACACAGAGAGAGACAGAGATAAAGATGCGGTAACGCTTTATTTTACAGTGTTCTTGTTACATGTTACATGCACTTACTGTAGTAATAACAAAAAATTAGGCATAATTACATGCAACTAAGTGTAAACCAAACCCTCATCCTAACCCTAACCATATAGTCAGTGCATGTAGTTCATTAATATTACTCAGTACTTGAATGTATAAATATACTGTAACAAGGGCACCATAAAATAAAGTGTAAGCAAAAATGCCAGTCATTCAGTACCACGTAATACATTTGTATTACCATAGTACCATTTTTTTAGAGGACTTGACCTCTGCAAGGGGCCAAACACAGAATAATATAACTGTAAGAGAGAGAGAGACAGACAGACAGGGCAAGCAAGACAGACGAGGAATGGTGTCCTTGAGTGAATCTCTGCAGTGTCTTATTCTGTCACACACAGATTTCCCCCAGAGTACACGTCTGTTCATGCTGCTCTCATTAAAATTCACTCCACGTCACGCCTGCTCACGCTGGCAGAGTGCCGAGACCCTCCGACTGCCCGTCTCTCTCTCTCACACACACACACACACACACACACACACACAGGTACTCGTAGTGAGGAGTTTACAGCTCTCAGATCTCACTTATACTGTGACAACAGAAGAACAAACATGTAACTCATACAAAGAGTAAAGCATGTGGATCTTGGCATACTGCCCTACAAAATACTATGTACACAAAAGTATATACCGTTCCATCACCAGAGAAGTACATGCTTTTAGTGCATAGTAGTATGCAAATTTGGCCACAACCACTGAGAGCATCATATTACAAGAGTATGGAAATCCATTTCCACAATAGAATAAAACCAAACAAGAGTAACTGCAACTTTTTCTCTGAAAATTTTGTGCTTATATCTCATTCTGACTTTTTTCCTCAGAATTGCAAGACATACACAAAGAATTGTGAGATAACTAAGAATTTTCTCGCAATTCTCAGTCCTCACAATTTTGACTTCTCAGAATTGCAAGTTTATATCACAGTTCCGAGTAAAAATTTTACAATTCTGACTTTTTTTCTCAGAATTGTGAGAAACAAAGTCTGACTTCTGAGATAAAATTCACAATTACCCTTTTTTAAATGTATTTCTTTTTTGGAATTGCGATATATAAAAACAGAATGGTGAGAATTCCGATTTTTTTCTCTCTCAGAATTGCAAGTTTATATCCGCAATTCAGAGTCTATATCTCTCAACTTGGATTTTTCTTAGAATTGTGGAAAAAAAAAATCAGAATTGTGAGATAAGTCGAAATTTAACTTTTTTAAAATTCCGTAGTGGAAGCGGGTGTCCATATTAAAGAGAGAAAAGGAAAAAATAATACTCCAGTCTTTTCTGTTTGTTTTCAAGATATCTTTTATTCTGAACACAACAAATCATCACTTGAAATCACATGCATGTAAATCACGGCCTCATTTCTGTAAAATTTGCTTCTTAAAAAAATATGAAAACGTTGTTCGGTGGAAAGAGCGAAACACTGCGGCTACCGGCACCGTAATGATCGCCTCCACCAAACCAGCCAGCTTTCACAGAAGAGCTCTTGATCCGAAGGGCACAGGAAGTGATGTCATTAAGCCCCATGTACCGCAGGTAGAATCACATGACGCAGAGGTCCAGAAACAAATGAGTCCATGAATTAACTTGCAAATTTTTATCGGAGTAAATAAGATGAAAGACTTCAAACAAACTAAATCAACAAGTCATTTTTGGCAGATATTTAAGATTAAAATGAAATGAAGGCATCAATATGATTCACATTCCAGCTTTGCACAAACACACGGCTATAGAGAGGCACACAAATACACACACACACACACCTCCAGAAAAACACACAGCAGGTCAGACGTGTGCGCAAATGTTTGTAGGTAAGAAATGTCCATTCACAGGAAATATTGACTACAAACAGTGCTTCTAGAAAAAAAATCAACAAAATTAACAATTGGTAAAACTCTCCAGTAATAGGAGCACAGTACATCCACCTCTTTATTAAAGTACCTATTTGAAAATCTATAAAACTAAATCAATTTGATCTTAAATATGCATAAATGCTGAATTGGACATGAAAATCTGAACTCAAATATTTGAAACGACCAAAATATTTCCTCGAATGTACACGGAAAAGCTGCTAAAATGCTGTTCGTCTACTGAAAATAAATAAAAAAGTAAATCGAAAATAAATTACAGTACTGAACTCGACCCTTTCTTTAATTTAGTTCCTTTAGAAGGTCATTTATACTGCATTTGCTGCAACTGCGTCCTTGAAATCAACATGACCACACCCACATCCAACAAACCACGCCCACATACCTCAGCCAGCCAATCAACTCATCACGTTCGTCCTTCAATCATGCATCATTTTCTATTGCGTTCCGTTCCATTTCGTTCCCACCTCAGTCCATTCAGTCTCGTTCTGGTCAGATCTGACACGTCTTTGGGTGCATCGGTTTTTCAAAAGCTTTCAAACTTGAACAAAATCAGCTACAATATTCAAACGAGAATAACTATTCAAACTAGCAGGTCCGCAACACAGACCCTTAAAACTGCATCTCTATCTCACAAACAAAGAAGGGTAAAAAACACTGAAAACAACAAAACATTTTCCTTCTCAAGCAATCCACAGGAAGTCAAATCCCTGAACACTCTCTGATTGGCCGAGTCTGGGTTCAGAGGTCATTGTCTTTGTGGTGATGCGTTTGCATGGTGATGCCACACCTGAAGTAATGCAAAAAACAATTTGTTTGAGTATTCAAAATGAACAAAGCAACACACCTACAGGTATAATGCTGTGTGATACTCACATGGCACTGCTTGCTTCATATTTGGCTTAACCTGGAAAACAAAATTCAAAATGATAATTTTAAAGTCAAAGATTCACTTTAACCTTGTAAAGCCTCACATATGAAATAATAGGCAGAAAAAAATATAATTTTCTGGAATGGAACTAAAAATGTGTGCGTGTTCATGTTTTGTGCCATATTTGATACATCAGGTTTTTGGCTCAAAAAGTATGATATAGTGAGAACACGGAGCTTTTTAAGCAGAAACACCTCAACTTTACTCAGAACAAACAGAGCAAAAATAAACTGATATGTATATGGACAAAAAGTAGGATGAAATTCTAACAGCTTGCAGTGTAAAACAAAGAGATCTTAATAACAGTAACATAAACGGCATACAAATATGTTGTCACTCTATATCCGCCCATAATATGTCTTAGTAAGATTAGAATTAAATGTTTAAGTTTAATAATCAAAGCTTTGTAGCTTCAAAAAATGATGCAATGCAATACAATGTTGATTGAGAGATGAACAAATAGACCTTATTGAAAATCTATAAAACTAAATCAATTTGATCTTAAATATGCATAAATGCTGAATTGGACATGAAAATCTGAACTCAAATATTTGAAACGACCAAAATATTTCCTCGAATGTACACGGAAAAGCTGCTAAAATGCTGTTCGTCTACTGAAAATAAATAAAAAAGTAAATCGAAAATAAATTACAGTACTGAACTCGACCCTTTCTTTAATTTAGTTCCTTTAGAAGGTCATTTATACTGCATTTGCTGCAACTGCGTCCTTGAAATCAACATGACCACACCCACATCCAACAAACCACGCCCACATACCTCAGCCAGCCAATCAACTCATCACGTTCGTCCTTCAATCATGCATCATTTTCTATTGCGTTCCGTTCCATTTCGTTCCCACCTCAGTCCATTCAGTCTCGTTCTGGTCAGATCTGACACGTCTTTGGGTGCATCGGTTTTTCAAAAGCTTTCAAACTTGAACAAAATCAGCTACAATATTCAAACGAGAATAACTATTCAAACTAGCAGGTCCGCAACACAGACCCTTAAAACTGCATCTCTATCTCACAAACAAAGAAGGGTAAAAAACACTGAAAACAACAAAACATTTTCCTTCTCAAGCAATCCACAGGAAGTCAAATCCCTGAACACTCTCTGATTGGCCGAGTCTGGGTTCAGAGGTCATTGTCTTTGTGGTGATGCGTTTGCATGGTGATGCCACACCTGAAGTAATGCAAAAAACAATTTGTTTGAGTATTCAAAATGAACAAAGCAACACACCTACAGGTATAATGCTGTGTGATACTCACATGGCACTGCTTGCTTCATATTTGGCTTAACCTGGAAAACAAAATTCAAAATGATAATTTTAAAGTCAAAGATTCACTTTAACCTTGTAAAGCCTCACATATGAAATAATAGGCAGAAAAAAATATAATTTTCTGGAATGGAACTAAAAATGTGTGCGTGTTCATGTTTTGTGCCATATTTGATACATCAGGTTTTTGGCTCAAAAAGTATGATATAGTGAGAACACGGAGCTTTTTAAGCAGAAACACCTCAACTTTACTCAGAACAAACAGAGCAAAAATAAACTGATATGTATATGGACAAAAAGTAGGATGAAATTCTAACAGCTTGCAGTGTAAAACAAAGAGATCTTAATAACAGTAACATAAACGGCATACAAATATGTTGTCACTCTATATCCGCCCATAATATGTCTTAGTAAGATTAGAATTAAATGTTTAAGTTTAATAATCAAAGCTTTGTAGCTTCAAAAAATGATGCAATGCAATACAATGTTGATTGAGAGATGAACAAATAGACCTTCCCCAAAAGCCTGGTGATCATATTTGACACTCACATTTGAACATGATTCTTCTAAAAAATTATGCATGTATAATTATGTAGCCCCAGTACGGGTTCGGCTCAAAAAGGTTCAGTTTGCTGGACCCCTCTGACCCTACAGGAAGTAGTTAAAAAAACATCCAGCACCCCTCCACACACTCGTAAACAGCCTCCTCGTTAATACTAACGAGTAATTAAGCACTAACGAGCCCCCTCAGATAGCGCAGACACACGCCAGACACACACACACCCGCCCCGTAAAACATTATGAGCTTTTGTTGTGTGCAGAGAGGATAAATCTCATGAAATCATTGATGTTCATAGAAGAGGTCTGCATTCAGGAGCACAGATGCATTCTGGGTAATGTAGTTCCGATGTAGAGTAATACCTCTGTCTTTGCCATTCTGCAGCAGTCTGTCATCCTCTTCTCCTGCATCTTCTACTAAAGACAACAGAAGAGAATATATATTATGTTTGTATATAAAAATGAATTAAGAAGCATTATACACTCCAATACAGTTTTGGAACAGTTCTGTGTCTAGAGACATTTTAAAAGTGTTATTGTTTACTAAAACTAAAATGATTCAAACTATTGTTTTAATATTTATTGTTTAATATTTTGTTTAATAATTGAATACAAATTGTTCTCTTTCATTTAAATAAAGCTGAGATAATAATATTAATTAGATAAAAAAAAAAAAAAGTAATAATGCCTTGGCAACTAACTGAAATAAATAAGTTAAAAGTACTAAAAATTACTAAAACTAAAATTGAAAAGTGAAAAAAGGCTCAAATCTAAATATTATACAAAAATAATTAAAATTACAAATGCACCTAAAAAATGTACTTAAATGTAAACTAAACTTTTATTGAAATAAAATCTGAAAATATAAAAATGAAAGCAAATAGAAATATTAATAAATATTATAATAGTATGTAAATAATACTAAATTAACACCTGTAATGATGGTACTCATATCAGTGTTATTTTAGTATAACTGAGAAACTATCATGGTTTTTATTATGGTCATTTCTGCATTCATTTTAATTTTAATTAAAGTTTTAGTAATTTTGTTGCATGTTATATATCTATATATTTGATCTAAATTTGTATTTCAGTTTTAAGTATTTTAATAAATCAATCAAACAAAAATGAGAAATGTTTGCTTGGCATTTTGTGTGTAATAACCCTAATTCATAAACCAATATATTTACATCTCTATATTAAAATGCTATCATGGCACTAGAATGCCCAAAAATGTGTGTGTTTACTTTTTAGTAGTTTAGCTAGTTTATTATTAATATAGTTCAATTGAAAAGGATTGTGTGTCTGTTTCAAGTAACAGGTAACCTGAAATTCTCACACCATTTCTCTGTCACAGCTGTGAGAACACAGACTACCCACAATGCATCATGATCGTACCTGAGTTGAGCTCTTTGACCAGTGAAGACATGGTGTTTGTGATGGAGTCTGCTGCCACCAGGAGATCATTTCGCAGGTTTCTGCGAGGTCCTGTAGGATCCAAATACAAAGAATGTTTAGGAGGTTTACGGAGTTAAAAAAGGCTAAAATCACTGAATTGTTACACCACAAAAGATGCATGAACTGACATTATTTCAAAAGATTTTGTTCGTCCACAACAAAATACAAAAATAGCAACATATTTGATGTTTAATATACAGACTAACTATTTTGGACTAATGAGATGTCAAAATGGGTGGGGCTACCCAGTTCAATCCTGTCACAATCTGAATCATGTGACCAACAAAAATTCTTGTTGCTCGTCAGAAAATAAAAAACACAGTAGTCTCTTTTGTGTTAAAGTGATAAATGAAGACGTTACCCTGAGCAAATGCTTCCTGAACATCTCCACCCACTCCAGCTAAAGAGTCCTGGGGCCCGTGGGTTGGGGTGTGGCCTCCGTATGTGGGGGTGGGGCCTGACGAGGGAGAGCGAATGGGCATCTGCATAGAACGAGGGGAGGCGTGGCTGGGGGAGGAGCCAGCGGCTTGAGCCTGAAGAGAGAGAATGAAAACTTCATATTGTACGAGACACACCTGCTAAACCTTTCTGCTAGAACTAAAAACTACTGACTGATCTGACTGTGTGTAAAAGCCTATGTAAATGCATATTCACATCAAAAGTGAATTCTCTGCGCGAAACTAAAGCCAAACTGAAATAAGAGAGGCCGGGTAAAAAATAAAGCCAACGGCAAAGAAAGGATTGCTGAAACAAAACAACTTACATTTTTATGGAAAACTTAAGTCTTAAAATATGTGCTACTACTTCTAACACGTAAAAAGATGCATTCATATTTTTTGAGCATTAATATTTTTGGAGAACTTACAGCAGACACTGGAAGTTAAACATCGGGATGAAAAGAAAGAGATAAATACATCTAAATAAAAAAAAAAAAAAGAAAAACAATGGAAAGGAATTTTCACATAAACAAACGAGAGACACGGAACAATTTTTTTTTACATGCACAGTAAATCACACACTCAAACAGTGCATTTTCATATCCCCATATTCATGTACTAATACACTAGCTAAAATAGTACAAGCACCAGTTTTAAAGATGGAAATCATATTAGTTGCAATGTTTATTTTTTCATAATATTACAAATGAGTGAGCATCAGTGCTATTTTATTTATATACTAGAATAGTATAATTTCACATTTTGAATCAGCTTTTATTTTATTTTTCATTTTAATTTTATGTTGTAATTTTTATTAGTTACATTTTTATTTGCTTTTGTTATTTTTATAAGTTTATGTTTTTTTAATATTTCTATTTAATTTTATATTTATTTCAGTTTTAGTAATTTTAGTACATTAGCTTTAACATATTTATTTCAGTTAGTGGCCAAGGCAACATTTCTTTTTCTTTTTTAAGTAAATGTTTTATTTAATATTTATTTCAGCTTTATTTCTCTTAACAATTTTGAATAGTTTTAGTTTTAGTTAACAATAATAACACTGCCAAGCATAAGCCGAGTTTTATTTCACTACATTGGTTTGACTGAATGTTGTTATTTTTGTCATGTTGTCACTTAAAATATATGTAAAATATAGTAAAATATACTCTACACATGGTAGAATACTTCCTGCTAAAAATAATTTAAAAAAACCTGGTAGTAAACAAAATGTTTCAAAAGCCTACTTTGGGTTTTTATGAATGATCAGTTTGTACAGTAGGTGTCCGTCCTTCTTTTAGATTTTTATATATTTTTTTTAATTCAAAAAAGAAAATCAATAACAAAATAACCTCAGGTGTGAATTTCGAAGCTGCTATGTTTTATAAAAACCTAAGTTACTATACAAATGTGATTGTCTGATTTGTGAAGCATGTAAACTCAAATTATGGCATTGTGATTATTTAGCAACATAGCAACTTACATTTTAAGAGCAATATGTGTTTAATGTTGTAGAACCTTATTTTACTCATAAATCAAAAACTGCTATTCTAAAAATATTCTATGCTATTCTACAGTCTAAATCTCTATTTATCTACATATTTGTGTAAGTGACTTTTAAATGTGCATAGCAAAATTTTATGAAATCATACAGTGATTTCTCTGACATGCACAGTGAAACACACACTTACAGCTTGTCTCTGCTCCTCATCCTGCAGGAACAGGACAGAGATGGAGGAAAAGAACACAGGGAGTGAAAAACAGAAGACGAGAGCAAGTATTACCGCTATCAAGAAGAAGTGAAAAGTGGGAAACTAGATCAAGCGTATAAGAAAAGGCAGCAGGCTCAGATGACAAACTCTAAAGAGAGTGACGCCCTCCAGTGGCTGAAATATTACAGTGTGTTTGTTTTTGTGGTGTCTGGTCTTGCCCTGCCTGTCTGGTGTACCTTCAGTAGTTTCATGAGTCCTTCCAGCTGCACCATGAGCTCTCTCCTGCTCTCCTGAAGAGACGACATCCTCTGCTCCAGCTCATCCTTCCTCTGCCTAAAACAACACACAAACACAAGCACAGAGCTTAGACCTCTCCTCTCATACATGCAATGATTTCTGAGAGAATGAGGTTTATTAGACAAAACCATCATTCAGATTTAAACTACAACATGTTTTGGTAGATTTATTTTGACATTGTGAGAAGCGCTTCAATTGTCTTCTTGAGCTGGTTTTTTGACATATTTGATATTCATTTGACATATATTTGAGGGAATGTTTCCAAAAATGTGTCCCGGCAAAACGTGTGCAGCAGAATTAAACACTTTTACACAATTTTGACAAGTTAAACTGGAACTGGTCTAATGGGAATCTAATGGGAGAAGTCAGAGAGAATAATGGCAAAAAGTAAAACCGTCTAGACAAAAAAAGGTGAATGAATAAATAAATAAATGTCATTATCAAAAACATTTTCTTCCAGTGATTTAGAGGGAGAAATAATTGTAGGATTTTATGACATTTTCCCAACAGTTTTTTGAAAATAATATTAATAATGTATCTTGAAAAATAATGTTTTATAGTAATAAATATAAATGATGGTAATATTTTACAATAAGTTACCATTTGTTAAAGAATTAACATGAACTAACAATTACAAATATATATGTATATATATATATACAGTGGTGTGAAAAAGTGTTGGCCCCCCTTCCTGATTTCTTTTTTTTTTGCATTAATAAAAATACAATTGGTCATATGTTAATTCACAGTGCATCAACTAATTATAACAAATACAAAATGATACAAAAAATGTATCAGCACATGATAAAATTAGTTCAGATCAGTTGCTAAGGAAACATTTCTCATTTTCATTTAGTTTAACTTGATGTAAGTTACTAAAATGAAAGTTAAGTAAAATGAGTAAAACCGACCATCTGAGTTTCAATGCTATCTGATATCTGTGTGTGTGTTCCGGATAAACTGTATGCTGTAAAAACCAAGTGTCTTCACAAGGATCGCAAAATTTGACATTTTTTGACCTAGTGGAGACATTTCTGGTCTCTATGAGTGAAAACAGCTTATAAGTCATACTAAACAATGTTTTTTAAAAATGTAAAAATGCAGAACGTTTTCTGTGAGGCTTGTGTTTAGGGCTAGGGGATAGAATATACAGTTTGTACAGTATAAAAATCATTATGTCTATGGAAAGTCCCTGTAAAACAAAAACCCAACATGTGTGTGTGTGTGTGTGTGTGTGTGTGAGGGGTACCTGAGCTGTCTGAGTTCTGCCAGCAGGGTCGGGTTTTGTTGGACTCTCTCTGGAGTCGGCTGACATGCCTGTTCATGCTCCGCTCGCAAACGCTGGATCTCCTGCAAAATCTCCCTGAAAACACACACAGCATTACCATTTACACACTCACTGAGACTGAAACCCAAAACCACTGGATGGAAATCTTCATGAAAGCATCTCCATATGCAGCTGAGAGCGTGAGTACCGGTTCTTGTTCTCCAGCTGCATGATCAGTTCTCTCTGCTGTTTGTTGGTGTTGTAGCTGAAGTCCGAAGGTCTCTGTGATTCACAAGAGCAGCAGGAATAAAGAAATATGACTGTGTGCATTTGCTTAGCTGTCCCAAAATGAGTCAATTTAAGTGTTTTTCAATGCTAGAAGGCATCTTATATGTCTGTAGTGAGCATAATTTGAAAAGAGATAGTAAATGTGTGTAACTCACTCCTGTGTGTCCAGGATCCGTGGCCAGACGAGAGGCGTAACGAGCGATGAGTTTGTGCTCTTCATCCGTTCGGGTAGGACTGTCTAATGCACTACAAACACACACAGAAAATATTATTACATTTACATTTACAGTAACCTCAGGAGACACACACACACATACTCACCGTGGGCTGCTCTGGAGTTTGTTCACATACGCTGCGATCAGAGCATGTTCTTCATTCATACGCTGAGCTGCGGCTAGAGTCGGCGGTCTACACATACAAATCAAATTAAATAGCAAATTACAGATTCAAACAGGTTTTGTATGAGAGGACTGTACAGTAACACTGCTTAGTCCCTAATTTGTATTAGGGATGCGTCTAGGCTACAAAATTAAGGCTGCAATTTAATTACATCATTTACAGGTTCATCAAATAAAAATGATATTTATGAAAATAATAAGTATTTAATAGTAATAGTTGGTGTAAAAAATTATATATACTGTCTTATTTTTTTTTTACCATTTTATTAAAGTCATTTTTTTCCCATTGAGGACGTGATATTACAGCCAAACCACTATGTGACCTTCTACTGCAAATACATTTTAGAGAAAAATGGATTGGAAATGATGCTTTACTGTAGAATTTTTGTCATTTTAACAGGAAAAAAATACATAAATTGCTTAAGTTAAGACATGTTATTTGGTCAAATTTTTTTTATTAAATTGCCTTACCATATAAAACTACTATATTTTAAAAGACAATATATGCAATGTTTTTCGAGGTATTTTTTTATTTTTAAACTATTTTTTTCCCAGCAAAGTTTTAGTAACAACACCTACCAGTTTTTTTAACAATAAAATATTACAGTGTTGTTGAGAGGTGAAATTAAACATTTAGTTTTCCTCTTGAATTACTAATTCTTGTATAACAGCATTTTAAAAAATTGCAAGCACAATTAGATTAGTTTCTTCACCATTCAGCCAAGTAGTAGTAATAGAAGTAACTGTTTTTAATGAAAATGTAAATACAGTTTCAAGGCCTGTAAAAAAATTTAATAAAATATATGGCTGGCAATTTTTCACCGGGGATTAGCAGGTGTGGTAAAAAGTTAGTTTTGGACCCTGGAATTGCTGATATTAAACTTATAATTGATTATAATGTCAATAACCAATAGATGACAGATATTATAAAAAATAAGCTAGATTTACTTTATTAGGAAAGAAAGGAAATTAAAAGACACACAAAAAAAACATTTTTTGGTTTTGTATTTTACAAGTGATTATGTGAGTATTATCGCAATACTATGTATAATATGAAATATTTCTTTTGAAATCGGTGTACATTAGAAATGATAAACATATGAAACAAAAATTAAATTTCTCACACATAAAACACTTTGAACTGATTCCTCTGAAAGGTCAAAGGTGAAGAGCAGGTGCTCACCTCTTAGTGGGGCTGGGGCCTGCAGACGGGGGCAGAACTGGTTCATTCATGTTTCCTATTGGACGGGGAGGACTAGAGAAAAACACAATGACATGGGTATCTATAATAAAACAACACCACCCTGCATCATATTTACTGAATGAAATCAAATGCTTGCTTCTTACTAATTTTAAGGTGCCGATTCCAAAAATAATGCCCGCTTTGCTTAAACACGATGCACTTACTCACAAAATATGATGCATTTTGTAGCTTTTGTTGCTTTTGACAAACATTTGTAAGGTGAAGTTTTGTATTATCCCTTAATCACCAGAAAAAAAACACCATAAAGACATAACTTCCAAGTCAGGTTACAAATATTTGTTCAATTCTCAGACATATCACTGCTCATGTTAATTTGTCTGATTTGTGTTATTTTAAGTGCATTAAAGTTCATACACACATATTTACTAAATATATATTAAATAAAAAGATTTTACATTATTATTTTGTTTTGAAAAAGAAAGAAAGAAAAGAAACACAGCTCTATATGACGGAAAGTTTTAATTGATATTTTGAGGTAATATTTTTTGCAAATCAGCAGATTTTTTTTCAAGATGCAGGGCTATGTAATATATAATACATAACATAAGATAACATAACATAAGATTGAATATTTCATCATAATATTAGATAATATGTATCTATAACTATTTTAAACAACATTTTGAATTTTTTCATTATTATTCATGCAGTTTCACATTCATTGATAGACAGGGAATATCTATAATTTTGAAAAATTGTCATATTTAATTTGTCACACTGTAGTGAACTACAAAAAAAAACGAAAAGGTCATTATACACTCACGTACACTTTAAACTAAAAGCTGAATTGATGTTAATAAAAGTTCATGGACACTTACAGAATTTCTCTCTTACACATACACGCATGCATTCAGAATAAATTAAACATTATACTGTTCAACTGACCCAAATACACACACACACACACACACACACACACCGGTCAGTCATGCAAAACTAAGAGACTGAAGCAACACAGACAGAACAGAGACACAGAGCGTGATTCCTGGAGAAAAAAACAGACAGACCTAGACAAACACACACCAGAATGAAGACAAAATCATAACTGACCTCACATCTGTAAGCAGATAATAAAAGCAAACTCCTTCTCTGTCTCTCTCTCTGTCTCTGATGAGTGATCGTGTCTGACCCTCATCAATGTGTCCACAGAGACAATGAGATCATGTGATGTCGGGAACCAATAGAAACATTCCCAACACTTCCAAAATGGCCACAGACAGAGGGCTGTGTGTGTGTGTGTGTGTGTGTGTGTGTGAGTGTCTTACACTATATTGGACAGGTTGAGGGGTTTCTCGGGGTATTCTGGGTAGACGGGGTGGGACGGCTCTCTGCTCGGCACACAGCCCAAGGATTTACTGATGGCACGACCCAACTTCTTAGCTGGAGATTTCTGGAACAAACACACACAAATATAAGGAACCAAAACTGAAAACCTCCAAAGACATGAAAAGCTTCCACTTGTATCTTTTTGCACGGTTTCAGATTAAGTAACAGATTCCATTTGTATAAAGAAATGCACATTTAGTATAGAAATTTCAATGGTTTTTCAGCCTGTGGGAAGCCTGCACAATAAAAAAGCATCATGAAAACATTAAAACAACCATAAAAGTTCGAGGTTAGTAAGATTTTTTTAAAGAAATTATTTATTTTATTCAGCAAGGATGCATTAAATTGATCAAAAGTGACAGTAAATACATTTGTTACAAACGATTTCTACTTCAAATAAATGATATTCTTTGGAGTTTGAACTTTATATTCATCAAACAAACCTGAAAAAAGAAATGTATTGCAGTTTTCATAAAAATATTAAGCAGCACAAATATTTGCAACATTGATAATAATAAAAATATGTTTTAAGAGCAGCAAATCAGTATATTAGAATTATTTCTGAAGGATCATGTGACACTGAAGACTGGAGTAATAATGCTGAAAATTCAGCTTTGATCTCAGAAATAAATTACATTTTAAAATATATTGAAATTTTAAATCATAATAATATTTCACTATATTACTGTTTTTTTAATCAAATAAATGCAACCTTGGTGAGCATTAGAGACTTTTTAAAAATCCTAACGACCCCAAAAATTTGAATGGTAGTGTAGAAAATTTAATTTGCTAAAGAAAGCTTTTATAATTTTATTAATTCTGAGCATTTAGGGCTTGTGTTTAATATATTTTTTAATCTAATTTTTATACATTTTAAAAAATTGTTTTTTCAGTTCAAATTACTCGATACTTGAAGTTCAAGTTCAAGTTCAGTTAAACCCACTGTGTAGAAATGTAAATTTGCTAAAGAAAGCTTTTATAATTTTATTAATTCCCACGACTAAAAAAAAAAAAATCCTTTATATTTCCTGGTTTTCCATGTTCCTAGATGGTGGAAAGTGACATGAAAAGGGCTGGGCGATATGGCCAAAAGAATTATCACGATAATTTTATCACTTATCACTATCACACATAATATCACTTATTTGTCTCTTAGAAATGCACATTTGATAGTAGTTTGAGTTAGGAAGCAGAGGTAAATATTTGTTCATTATCAAAATCAGTAACATCTGTAAAAAATTGCAGTTTGAGCTTTGATCCGAGCGAATAAACGGTCCGTGTGGCGCGATTCAAATGAGTCACGCTGTTTCGTTCCGCTTTTGGCGCATAAACATTATATCGAACATTTATCGAACTCTTCATATTGTTTTATCGAGGAAAATTATATCGCAATAATTATCGTTATCGAATTATCGCCCAGCCCTACGTGGACTACAGAAAAAAACGATATATATATATATATATATACACAGCGTCGGCGCCATGGGGGGGCCTGAGGGGGTCACACCTCGGTCACTGTGCCCCCTCACCTCTGGTGCCGTCTCCGTAGTGGGCGCCCTGATTTTAGTCGGTGAGGCAAGGTACTGCCCTGGGAAGGTCTCCCAGGCTGTTAAATACACAGATTAAAAGCGAAATGTTTTCATTTCGGTTCGTTCTTAGCAAAAAAAAATTTTTTTTCGTTCAGGTTATGCAGAGCGAAATAAGAACAGTGCTGCATTTAGAAATAATTCTTATTAACTTTGCTATTATTCTCGAATTATGCCTTTACTGTATGACCTAAAATGAGGGAGTAGTCTATTTTATGTTTCAGCTGTTTGATCGCGCCGGCGCCTCACGCGCACACTAAGCTACTGCATTCATTGGAAACAGCGCAGCCGTTCACCGTGCCGTTCGGCGTGAGACCCGCTCCACTGTGGCATATTTTTGCTCATGATATTTTTCCGTCGATACTGGAACGCGCGTGAACTACAAAGCCTATTTTACCTAATAAGGCTAATAGTTTAGCTTCAGCTACATCACGAATATGGACACATTTGGATTTGTGCCTGAGGTCTTGATTGCAAATGTTTTTTTGTTTTGTTTTTTATGTACGATGGATAATTAAAACAAAAATCAGGCGTGTGTATTTATAACATCAATTACTAGGCCTACATTCTTTTTTTCAGAAATGGAAGTAACTTAAAATGTTATTGTGTTTTTGTAATTTTAATATTTTTATCTATAGGCCTATACAGCAAAACTACAGAGCTTCCAGTAGGTTATTTTACGGAGCTGTAAACACGGTAATCTCCGACTGCATGCAATCTTTGACAAACACTCAATTCATATATCAAACTAGGCTATATGTTATTAAATTGTACATAGGCTATATATCAGATTATTTTATTTACAAGTTTCAAGTTTGTGTTTATCCCGTTTTTTCCCCTGTTGCATCTGAAAATTACTTTCAGAAACATTTTTTTTTCAAAGCAGTCCTCCCCCAAAAAAAGTGCGGCCCCCCCCCAATAAATTGTGCCTGCCCCCTCACTTTGTGCTTTGACGAACACCCAATTCATATATCAAACTAGGCTATATGTTATTAAATTGTACATAGGCTATATATCAGATTAGTTTATTTACAAGTTTCATGTTTGTGTTTATCCCGTTTTTTTCCCCAGTTGCATCTGAAAATTACTTTCAGAAACATTATTTTTTTCAAAGCAGCCCCCCCCAAAAAAAGTGCGGCCCCCCAATAAATTGTACCTGCCCCCTCACTTTGTGCGCTCTGACGCCGACCCTGTTTATAAATATATATATAAATAAAAAAATATGAGATGAGCACTGTAGCTGATCCTCACCCAGGACGAATGCTCCTTCATCTCGTGCTGGTTGTTGTGGTTTCCACTCGCATGACCTTGCCAGAAACAGTTCTGACACAGCTGATAGTTAAAACACTGCTGACAGCGGTAACGAAATCCCATCATGCCCTCCGACCGACAGAACGAACACGCCACCGGATGATAGACTGACAAACAGAGAGAGATTCATTGTGCTGGAATATACGAATATTAAACTAGAGAATTAACGTTCATGATATTGGAGACTTGTAAAAATTCTAGCTTTGTCATGGCATCATAAATAAGTGCGAGTAATATGAATAATTAAGCGTATATTATTCAGTGTGTTACCGTTCTCCACGTTTGCCAGCCGATGCAGCAGAGGGAGCCAAATGAGACACTGAGGAGGAGAATCTAACATCAGAGTATCCAGAAACATGTTCAGCATCACCTTCTTCTGTTAAACACACACACACACACACACACACAGACTCAAAAATGCATCCATGACAGAACTTTTGCACATTTACACATAGGATGTTGCTATGTGGTTGCTAAGGTATTCTGAGCATTGCAACCTTGGTGAGCATTAGAGACTTTTTAAAAATCCTAACGACCCCAAAAATTTGAATGGTAGTGTAGAAAATGTAATTTGCTAAAGAAAGCTTTTATAATTTTATTAATTCTGAGCATTTAGGGCTTGTGTTTAATATATTTTTTATCTAATTTTTATAAATTAAAAAAAAAAAAATTTCTGTTCAACCATACTTGTTCAAGTTACTTGATACTTGAAGTTCAAGTTCAAGTTCAATTAAACCCACTGTTAAAAAGGCAATAACAAAAAATTGAACAATAGCAAGATCTGGCTTTCCAAAGTCAATGAACAATTGTGTTAAACAATTGTGTGATCTCTCAAAATAATTGTGATTATGATTTTTCCATAACTGAGAACTCCGCACCAGGTTAAAACTTTTTCGATTGCATGATTTGAAGTATTATTACTTCGTTATTACTTCTGTAGCACAAATGATCAGTCAGTCACACAGTCTAACACTCAATGTTCAGATCACTAACCCAATCTACGAGCAATAATAGTCAGGTTTATGCAAACGCCACTAACAACACAAAGAAAAGAAATTAGAAATTTGGAATTGTTTGAAAAGAAAATTTGAAAAGAAAAGAAGAAATGTGGAATTGTTACTTGTTGAGGAAAGCAGGATCTGGCGAAGTGATCCATATAGCCAAACGACGGCCCCTCAAATACGACAGTGGGCAGCTTCAGCGCCTCCCGCAGGAAGTGGTCAAACTTGGACATCACCATCGCACCATGAGTATCAGATATCTGAGAGAAAATATCTAACACACACACACACAAACTCGTTACATCGGCCACAGAACATGTTCATGAGCAATGATATGCATATCAATATTATAACTGATGAACTGTACACTGAACTGAATAAAGATATTCCCTGCATCTGAAAACAAATACTTCCTTACTATATAGTAGGTAAAAAAAAAGTATGCCAAAAGCGTAGTATGTCTTAATTCGATGGACACTTTACTATCCCATAAGGATTTATGATTGGCAGTGAAGCGACGCAACTGACGCAGATAGGTCAAGTGACAGTAACAACATGGCGGATGTAGTACATCTGAATTTCATTCATACGCCCCATATTCATACTATATAGAACATACTTTTTTTAATGGTTGCAAAGCAAGTTCAAATTCAAATGTAGAACCTATTTAGACAGTATGTGATTTTGGATACACCGATTGTCTTTTTAGAGCTGCTTTACAGCAGAATTTGAATTTGTCTTGTGTTTGAAGACGTTTGCATAATTGACTATTGATTATTTTCACTACTCCAACTTGCAAAAAAGTTTCGGTCCCATGACCTCCATCACACTCAAACAAATGCTAAATCAGCACAATTAAACCACAGCATAGCCAATCCTCACATCAGACATATGACGTAAACAAACATCAACACATTTGGAGATCATCCCATTCCTAATCACCTAGAAAACAAGCGCCAAATAAATAAAGGTGACTTGATTTGATTTGTTCACTGCTGAAATCGATGCGTGAACTTACAGCGAAGTTTATCAACAAGTTTCCCTCCACACAGCACCGAGAGCATCACTTTCACAGAAAACACCGTCAGCCTTCCCTGAGCATCACTGCAAAACACACACAGTTACACCGTCAAATCAACTGATGCTGATGCTCAAGAAACATTTCTTCACATTATCGATGTTAAAAAGAGTTGTGCTGCTTCATATTTTTGTGAAATTAGCAGTTTTTTCATAACAATGAATAGAAAGTTCAATAGAACGGCATTTATTTGAAATAGAAACCTTTTGTAACATTATAAATGTTTTTACTGTCGCTTTGGATCAATTTAATGCATGCTTGCTAATTAAAAATATTCATTTCTTTAAACAAATCTGAATTTACCCCTAACTTTCACAAACACAACAAGAGACCAGAACACACACACACACACACACCTGTCGTGTGCCGTCACCATGAAGTTGAGCAGCAGGCTGGTGTTGTGCTGGACGTTGATCTGGTGTGTGGTGGGCAGCCGTTTGTTTAGCTGCTGGTAGATGCAGGTGATGATGGTCTCCATCCGAGCCACGCTGATCTCAGTACAGACGTCCAGCGTGTTCAGACCGTTGTCACGAAACGCCTCGATCATGTTCCACACGTCCACCAGATGCACTGAGAGAGAAAACGCATGAAATATAGGGAATTATGTCAGAGAAATACTTACTATGTCAGTCCAGATTACTCTAAATATGATCAAAATAAACACGTAACATGAAAAACTAACTTTCTAACTTGAATGTCATTTTTAACCCTCTGTTAATGTACATTACCTTTTAAAAAGTTTGGAGTCTTGTAATTTTTTTAAAAAGAAGTCTCTCATGCTCAACAAGGCTGCATTTATTTGATCAAAAATACTGTAAAAACAGTGAAATATTATTACAACGTAAAATAGCTTATTTCTATTGTAATATATTTTAAAATGTCATTTATTCCTGTGAATTAAAGCTGAATTTTCAGCATCATTACTCCAGTCTTCAGTGTCACATGATTCTACAGAAATCATTCTAATATGCTGATTTGTTGCTCAAGAAACATTTCTGATTATTAGCAATGTTGAAAACTGACTAAAATAGTTTTGGAAACCATGATTTTCTTTGCTTATTTGATGAATATGAAAATAAAAAGAACAGTATTTGTTTGAAATAGAAATCTTTTGTAAAATTATAAATGTCTTTACTGTCACTTTCGATCAATTAAATGTGTCATTGATAAATAAAAGTATTAATTTCTAAGAAAAAAAAAAATCTTACTGACCCCAAACTTTTAAACAACAGTGTATTTCTGGCCTATGTTTCACACTTATTATACAAAGTAGAGTTCATTCATGCTGAGCTTTGTTTTGAATTTGCAAACAATCTGCATCTTTTTCAAGATTAGTCTGTTTCAGTTGATTTAAAGTGCTACTCACGGTTGCATTTCTTCTGAATGAAACTGAGCTTGCAGGCGGTGCGGTACGTGGACAGCCGGATGGTGTCATAATTCTGCGTCTCTGAATAATCAAAGTTGCACATTTATACTCAGATGCACCAGTTTATGAATGTGCATTGTGGGTCAAAGGTCATGTGGTGGGCGGCACTCACTCATGTCTGTGAAGATCTGCTTCCTGTCGGCCATGACATTCCCCTTCCGTCTCTCCTCTATCATCCTAGAGACACACAGAGAGAAATTAAACATAGACGGGTGATTATTTAATTAGAGGCACTTTTGAGCTTTTGAAATAAATATCTTTAAAAGAATGCAGCATCTTCAGACTGTTTCACAAACATAAAACTGTCACATTAATGGCAATTTCTTGCATTGAAATAAAAAAAAACAAGCATTATGGTAATAAAATGTGATGGTAATGGCACTTTTTTCTTGTGTTGTTACTAAAATAAATAAATAAAGACCTGTATTTTTGCATAATGTCTAACAATGTGTTTTTTTAAAACCATGCATGACGGTAAAGAAATGTGATGGATGGTATTGTAACTAGAAAAAAAGAAAGAAAGAAAGACATGAATTTTTTAATGTGTAAATGTTTTTTTAAACCATATATTCATGATGGTAATGAAATGTGATTGTGATGGATTTTCTTCTTGTACTGTAAATAATATAATATAATAAATGAATGAATGAATGAATTTTTGCATAATGTGAAAAAATTTAATATTATTTTATATTTAATTGTAAAAATATTATAGAGGGGAAGTTCAAAAATCTGGATGGGGAAGAAAAGTCAAAACTGAGACATTCTGGCAAATGTAAGATTTCAACCCTCTTAACAATTAGGAAAAACTTGAAGAGTTATATAGTTACCTAGCATGTAGCAACCTAGAACAACCTAGCAACCAGATGTGCCAAAAACTTGTTAACGGTGACTTTTTGTGACACTCATTGACAGCCGACACACAAGTGAATTTCCCAAACAGTTACATCTTAATAAAGAACAGAACTGAATCTCTCTCTACTTACTGCAAAGCACTGAAGCATGTGTACACACATTCCTGCAGGGATTTGAGGGTCTCCGGTGAGACTTACCCATAATCCCCTGGGACACAGAGGTACAAACACTCACAACAGCTACGTTTAACACAACTCCACTAAAACTGACATCCAAACACTCGGGATGAACTCATTCTGTTATTCGTTCACGGTCTTCTTCAACTCAATGACATCGTCGTTTTGTCCTCATTGCCTTAAAATCCTTTTATTTGAACTTAATGAGATTCTGCACAAACTCACAACTAAGTGAGAATAATTTCTCAAACGCGCAGCACCTCACTGCTAAAACATTCCAGTGTCCTGAACTCACATTAACACTCATCACACAGACACGCTAAAAATCCCCAACACACAAACACTGACTGCAGCTGAGGACTGAAACTTCCTTAAACGCTTTTAATCACAATGATCTTTAATGAAGAAATTAGGTATGAAAGGGTCAAAAGTTTGGGGTCAGTAAGATTTGAGTTTTACGTACTTTTACTCAGTAAGGATGCATTAAATTGATCAAAAGTGACAATAAAGACATTTAATGATTTCAATGAAAATCATGACTTCTAATTATTAAGCAGCACAACTGTTTTCAACATTGATAATAATCAGAAATGTTTCTTGAGCAGCAAATCAACATATCAGAATGATTTCTGAAGGATCATGTGACACTGAAGACTGGTGTAATGATGCTGAAATTTCAGCTTTGCATCACAGGAATAAATTACATTTTAAAATATATTACAATAGAACTTGGTTATTTTAAATTGTAAAAAATATTACTGTTTTTACTGTATTTTGATCAAATAAATGCAGCCTTGGTGAGCACGAGACTTCTTTCATAAACAGAAAGAATAGTGCACACATTAAATGCTGAAATGCAACTGAAATAAGAAATGCAGAAGTACAAGTTAATTAAGAGGAAACACCTGTCATCGGTTACCTGATCTCGGCTGTAAGTCAGTCAGGTGAGAGCATCAAGAGGCCTGAAAACAGGAAGAAAGTGAGATGATCAGACGTTTGTTCACTTAATCACAGATTAATCACACATTCATCACAGCCACAGTCCAGCAGCACATCTCTGATTCCCACACTGCTCAATCATCCTGCTGCGTCTGTGATCATTCACACGTCAGTCTGTCAATCACATCTGCTCCTGTCCCTGAGGCACAAGATTTCTTCAGTTACATGGACGGATAAATGCAGCATCACTCCATTCAAAACTCATTTAGTTTCTCTTTCAGTAAATATTAAAGTCACCATGAAATCAAAATTGAAAATTCTTATTTTTTAATGAAATACTGTAGTGTTTATTATAAACAATTTATTCGTGCACTTCATTCTTTTTCATAGGGGTCATATGATGCTGCTAAAAAGAACATTATTTTGTGTATTTGGTGTAATGGAATGCGTTTATGCGGTTTAAGGTTCAAAAAACACATTATTTTCCACATACTGTACATTATTGTTTCTCCTCTATGCCCCGCCTTTCTGAAACGCGTCGATCTCAAAATGACTCATCTTTTCTTTCGGTCACGAGCTATGGCGGAGCTAGTGACGTGCGGAGCTAGTGACGTGAGGGGCGGAGCTAGTGACGTGAGGGGTAAACGCTGGGATAAACGACAGGTGAAAAGCAGATGCTGATGCATCACTTTATAGCACTGACACCAGTCATGAGGGCGTACGTTACCCCTAAACATTGAAAAGATATTAGGATATTACGACAACATTACTCTTAGGACATCGCAAACAAATATTTTTTCATGAACTCAAAATGACTCATCTTTTCTTTCGGTCACGAGCTATGGCGGAGCTAGTGACGTGCGGAGCTAGTGACGTGAGGGGCGGAGCTAGTGACGTGAGGGGTAAACGCTGGGATAAACGACAGGTGAAAAGCAGATGCTGATGCATCACTTTATAGCACTGACACCAGTCATGAGGGCGTACGTTACCCCTAAACATTGAAAAGATATTAGGATATTACGACAACATTACTCTTAGGACATCGCAAACAAATATTTTTTCATGAATATGACTGAGCGTATAGGACACGCTCAGTCATTCAGGCAGTCTCTCTCTCTCTCTCTCTCTCTCTAGCGCACGCAGGCACACACACACACACACACCGCGCTCTCTCTCTCTCTCTC